GTTGGGGAGGGAGAGGTGCCCGTCTCTCCGGGAGAGGCACATCGCTGCTGAGCCTCCCGGTCTGGTGCCTTCCCCACCCGGCCTTTTGGAGCCCAGTAGGGCCCAGGGCTGTGGGCAGCTCTGTGTGCGTATCCGTTCTGCGGAATTAAGGCCGATTATTCAGTCTCTGAGATATCAGTGAAGTGGGGTTAGTTACAATGAAGTAATGCAAAAAAAAAAAAAGTAAGATATCTTGAGTCCCAGAAGTCTTGCATGGTACTGCGCATATTGGACACACTGAAAGGTTCGGTCCCCATGTGTTGCCTGATCTACTTGAGAGGCGTCCCTGCCCATGACAGGGAGGTTGGATTAAATGATCTCTAAGGTCCCTTCCAGCCCAGGCCATTCTGTGATTCTGTGAAAGGTCTTTTATCAAAAGCCATCATCAAGTATTCGGACAAAACTGCCTTTCAACTGTTGACTTAATTAGAGCTCTGATAATGTAAGTTAACAGAGGAACTGATCCCTTCATTTCACCAAGCTGGACAACGTACTTTTTTGGATTATTGCTTTTGCCAGTATTTTTAACGCTTAAGTGTAAGAGTACAAGCACTTCTATTGTAACACTTTTGAATTTTGTCCTAACTTCAGAGTATTAGGTTGATAGGTTTCTTGTTCGTTTTATCTTTGTAACAGTAGAAAATACAAGGTCAATCACTGATTTCATCGGTTACAGTATCCTAAAATTCATGCCAGTTTATATGATGTTGCCTAAACACACTGCTCTTTATCTGGGCAGATATGTGTATATATATAACCCCAAAATTAGATTTAACTTGTTCTTCTGTATATCAAATTATTTTTAGGTGGTAAATTATTTTGGAGATTATGAATTTTGCTTTCAACGTTTGGAACTAATTTTTATGTTTTGGCCAAGTCATGTTTTGCCAAACATTGAAACTTCACTGATTTTACTCAAGTAAGTCTGCATAGGACTGCATAGGGAAATATTGATCATTCTTTGGTCCTTTTCTTTCTGCAGTCTTTTATATTTAATTACAAATGTGTATGAAATTAATGGGACTGTGAGTTTCACGTCCATAGCTTTATATGTGAACATGCAATTTAGCAGAAAGGAAAAAGATAGCCTTTTCCTGTACTAGTTGTTGATTCTTCCATCCCTTCTTTCTAGGCAGTGTCCAGTGAATAGAGTGTGGAAACTCATGTGGGTGGGATGGTAACTAGCTTTTTTCCCTTTCCCCACCTCCTGGTTAGCTGTCCCTAAGATCAGGTCTCATAGCGTGGCCCTGTGAATGCTGACACTGCTGAGGGAAGTAGGAACAAGGGGCTCACGGGGCATAAGAGTTCCTTCAATGGCAGCAGCGTTGTCTTAGCAAAACGGTAGCATTGGTGGTTTCAGTAGTTCAGTGACCTGCAATGTGGAAACGCATAGAAGAGGAATAACTTTAGTACTAAAGTTCGCAAACAGAGCTTTCCAAAATGTAATGGTAAAAGCAAAAATGTGATCTTCTGTGAGGCAGAGTTGTTCCAGAAAATGTTACAAGATGAAGAATTTTGCCCATTTTTACAGTATAGGTAAATTAGGTAGGCAGCTCTGGATGCGTATAAAAGTATTTTTGGTCTCCATGCAGCACTTTGATTACTTTGGTTGCAAAGGTTCTTATCTGTCATATCGTAAAAATAATTTTAATAGATCTCAGACAATACTTAAAAGTTGTTTGACCACATTTTGAATTGCAGTAAGTATAGCTGTTGTAAGCAGCAGAGCTAGCCATGTCTATTCACAGCAGTCCACGTATGTTGTATGTATTTAGAAAACAGTAGAAAAATTGGAAGTAGGAGTTTCTAGTATTTTCCAGGAAGTAAGTTATTGTCAGTATTGCTGTGTGCATTTTCTTTATGCTTTCTGATAAGTTTTCCCCCCTCTTACTGGTGTTTTGCAGATGAGCGTTTGAACACAGCATATGCCTGAGTATGCAGTCTGCTAATATGTTTCTGAAAAAAATCGTAAGAAGTTCTGTTCTTCCGTTTGCTACACAACATGGGATGAAAAAGGATTTGTTTCCACTCAGCAGAACTCTGAGTTTGTCACTTTGCCTGAAGCAGGACAGTTCATGCAGTCCCTCAGAAAAACTAGATTTAGATGCATGGAAGAAGGTAATGAAGTCTGGGTTGCAAGAAGAAGTCGGTGAGAAGGTCTCTGAGAGTAAGGAGCTTTCCACTTTAGCTGGTGCACGTGAGATTTTGGAGATGTGGAGACGAGCTGGCAGATCAGTTCCAGAAAATATCAGTGAAGAACAGCTAAAAACCTTTATGGAATGTCCTTCCAAGTCAGCCAAAAAGAAGTATTTAAAATTCTTGCATCTCAAAGAACTTTACAAGAAAAATGACAAAAGAAAGATGGAGGAGAAAAGGGAAAGGCTGGAAGCAAAAGAGCAAGCTCCGAAAACTGACGAGACCAGAAGGAATTCATTCATATGTGTGTGGTCCAGTGTTATGGATAGAGCATACAATTGGAGGGCTGCTCAGTCTATGATCTTTGGCCAACCTCTAGTGTTTGACATGTCTTATGAAAAAGATATGACTGTCCGAGAAGTGGCAAATACAGTGAAACAGATAGTTTTAAGTGAAGGCTGCAACCGAAGATCTGTGGATCCATTCCATGTCCACTTCTGTAATTTCAAAGATGACAGCCTCTATCATAAGGAATTTATCAAGCATTACAGAGATGCATGGGGCAAATTGCTTATCACTGTGACAGAGCAGTGCTACACGGAAATCTTCCCAAAGGATAAGCTTATCTATCTGACTGCTGATTCACCCAAGGTATTGAAGACATTTGATCACAATAAAATCTATATTGTTGGGTCAATGGTGGACAAGAACATAAAAACAGGCGTCTCTTTAGCACGGGCAAAGCGATTGGGGCTGGAGACCGCGGCCCTTCCGTTGGAGAAGTACTTGCTTTGGAATAGCGGTGCCAAAAATCTCACGCTGGATCAAATGATGCATATTTTATTAACCTTGAAAGATACTGGAGACTGGAAGAAGGCTCTGGAATTTGTTCCGAAAAGGAAATATCATGCCTTTGTAAACAAGCCTGTAAATGAACTGAAAAAAACCTTAAACCTGATCAATGCTCTTAAGCTTGGAAAGAGACAGGAAGAAGTACGAAAGCAATTTGTCAAGAACTACTCCAAGAAGCTATTGCAGAAGTAGAACGATGGAAAAGAGAATGATTTTTTAGGGGCAGAGTGTGGCATTTGTATGCTCCAGTTTCTTGGCTTTTCTAGAACTGTATTCAGCTCTATCTCTAAACGTGGGTTAAGTTTGAAAGGACTGTTGTTGGGTTTTTTTTGTTTTTTTTTTTTTAAATTACCTTAGTATTCCATCTGTATGAATTTATTCACACATTACTGAAATTATGTAATGAGATAATCTGCTCTTAAAAATTTACTCTGTATCTGACCGTTCAGTTGAACCATGCTAGGACAAGGGTGTTTGTAACCGAAGGCAGAGGTGGTTCTTTGGAGAACGCCTTAGTGTGTTGGGTTTGCAGTGGGAGGAGGCCATCCACAGTCCTATTCTGAAAGGTTAGCTGAGGCAAAATGGAAGAGAACTTTACCCGTTATTTGCTGAATCCTGTGCAGATGAAGTCTGGAATAGTTAAAACCTGTCATGAGTTTGGGGAGTTGCACAGTTTGTTTCTGGGTATTCTCTCTGGCATGAGTCAAGTCCCTGTTTTGAAGGAATAAGCCAGATTTCTTGACCCTAACAGAAAAAATACTTTTATGTACTTTTGTGTAAGACTCTTATATCCCTGAGTGCCTGTGTTTTCAGTCCATGTAAATTTCTCAAAGTGCTGGAGATTTTGAGATGATGACTACTACTACTAGTAAATACTTAGGGGAGCAGAGATCCTCTTATTATGTCTCACAGCTGAAAATGTATCAGTTGGTCTCTCTGTGAACCTCTTGTGTTCAGGCAGCAGGGCTACAATGAGCTTGTTGTTAAATACAGTTCTTTTTGCTTCATGTAGGACGAGGAGGGATTTCTCTTCAGATGCTTAAATATTGTGGAGAAGCACGCACGAGCTCCGAGATGGTGGAAAATGGAATTCGCTTTATTGCAGGCAGACACACATATTTATAGTTCTTAGCATTTAGCACTATTTGTGGATTACAAACAAGAGACCAGACTATGCAGGCAGGGTTGTTATTCGCTCATGTACTCCTTCAATCACACTCTTATCACACAGGGAGAACAGACTTTCCCAGGTCTGTTTTGATCATACTCTCCCATTCACTCCCATGCACATCTTGTGTGCGAGAAGCCTCTTATCTGTCCATTCTCATGGACAAACTCCCAACATGAGCTGTACTCAGGTGGTCAGGGTCTCTTTTCATAATTAGCAAGCAAGAGTTAGATACTTGTTTAGAAAAGAGCTCAAGGACAAAAGTCTTAATTCTGCAACGCAGTGCTGCCAGCACAGCTAACTGTAAAGTGTACCCACAAAATATCTTTGATTTAGTCTAGTTGACTACTCTGATGCTTAAAGTTAGCGACAGCAGATGGTGAGCTTTGTCCTGAAAATTTAAAAACCAGGAGTGGGGGGTTGAAGAGTAGATTACAAATATATCGGCGGCTGGCGGTGATCTTCTACCTGTCTTGCCTCTCACTGCGTGCCGTTGCAAGGAGGGGTTGGAAGGCCAGGGATGCACCACCCCGATGCTCCCCTCCACTGCTGATGAAGTGCAAGGACCTCTGGGTGCAGAGAACCCCTGGCTTGGAGGATGACCCACTTCCTTTTGGTCACGCCTGGTCGGGTAACATGCACATCTTCGCCCTGGGGTGGTGCTTCGGGCATGGCCGCAGGCTGCCTGCCAGCACCTGTCGAGCCCACGTCTGGTGGAAGGAGCAGCTGTCTCACTCAGGCAGCACCTCACTACCAGTGCGGAGGAAGAGATATTGTGGAGCCGCTGCGTGCTGCTCTTGTTACTGTGTAACGCTGCTGTTATTTATATAACAGGAGTGTGCCTCCTGTTATTGGCCGTTTCTTCATCAAAACGCCCTTTTCTTATCTGTTAGCTTTGGGGAGGGAGGAAAGGAAAAGCGATGTTCTTGATTTCAGCAAAGCTTCTGACACAGTCTCCCACAGCATCCTCCTGAAAAAGCTGGTGGCCCACAGCTTGGGCGGATGCACCCTACGCTGAGTAAAAAACTGGTTGGATGACCGGGTCCAGAGAGTGGTGGTGAATGGTGCTGCATCCAGCTGGTGTCTGGTGACCAGTGGTGTCCCCCAGGGATCAGTACTGGGCCCAGTCCTGTTCAGCATCTTTACTGACAGCCTGGATGACTGGGGGACTGAGTCCACCCTTAGTAAGTTTGCAGATGACATCGAGCTGGGGGGGAGTGACAATCTGCCAGGGGGTAGGAAGGCACTGCAGAG